GGAGACCAGCCTGGCCAAGACGGCGAAACCCCGTCTCTACTAAAAATACAAAAATGAGCCAGGTGTGGTGGCAGGTGCCTGTCATCCCAGTTACTCGGGAGGCTAAGACAGAAGAATTGCTTGAACCCGGGTTGCAATGAGCCGAGATCACGCCACTGCACTCCAGCCTGGGCGACAAAGAGAGACTGTGTCTCAATAAAAAAAAACAGGATGAAGACCTTTATGATGATCCACCTCCACTTAGTGAGTAGTAAAATATTTTCTCTTCTCTTCCTTAGAATTTTCTCTTCTCTAGCTGACTTTATTGTAAGAATACAGTATACAATACACGTAACACACAAAATACGTATTAATTGACTCTGTGTGTTACAAATAAAACTTCTGGTAAAGAGTACACGATGAGTACTTAACTTTTAGAGGAGTTAGAACTTATGCATCGATTTTTCAACTGCATGAAGGTTGGCACGCCTAACCCCCATGTTGTTCAAGGGTCAGCTGTATTTTATTTTATTTTTTTGAGATGAGTTTCACTCTTGTTGCCCCGGCTGGAGTGCAATGACATGATCTTGGCTCACCGCAATCTCCACCTCACCAATTCAAGCAATTCTGCTGCCTCAGCCTCATGAGTAGCTGGGATTACAGGTGTGCACTACCACGCCCAGCTAATTTTTTGTATTTTTAGTAGAGACGGGGTTTCCCCATGTTGGTCAGGCTGGTCTTGAACTCCCGACCTCAGGTGATCCGCCCGCCTCGGCCTCCCAGAGTGCTGGGATGACAGTTGTGAGCCACTGTGCCCGGCCCGGTCACCTGTATTTTGTGACACACGGTGAGTATATACATTTAAATCTCAGTGTCCCTCAAGATTCTTAGTAGAACACGGAACATGCCCATTCATTTACTGCATATTGAGTAGTTGTGGCCGCGATCATGGGACCCAAAGAACTTGACAGATTTCCCCATGTGGTTTTTTTTTGAGATGGGGTCTTGCTCTGTCACCCAGGCTGGAGTGCCGTGGCGCAATCTCGGCTCACTGCAAACTCTGCCTCCTGGATTCAAGAGATTCTCTTGCCTCATCCTCCTGAGTAGCTGGGATTACAGGCACACACCACTACACCTGGCTAATTTTTTGTATATTTAGAGGAGACGGGGTTTCGCCACGTTAGCCAGGTTGGTCTCAAACTCTTGACCTCAGGCGATCTGCTGGCTTCGGCCTCCCAAAGTACTGGGATTACAGGCGTGAGCCACCACGCCAGGCCCACTACCTGACCTTTTAAGAAGTTTGTCCACCCCTGCTATGGTCAGAGCTCATAACTGGTACCTTGAAATCTGTCTGCTATGTTCTCATGCAGAACTTCAAAAGTTATACATTGTGCCAGTAGCCAAAAAAAAAAAAAAAAAGCGCCAGGCGCAGAGGCTCAACCTGTAATGCCCCAACCTTGGGAGGCCGAAGCTGGGTGGCATCATCTGAGGGTCAAGGAGTTCCAGATTTCAGCGCCCTAACACGAATGGCTAAACAACCATCTCTTACTAAAAATAATATAAAATTCAGCGTGGCGTCGGTGGGCGGCATCTGTAATCCAGCTACTCAGCGAGGTCACTGAGGCAGCAGAACTGCTTGAACCTGGGCGAGGTGGGAGGTTTTGTCATGTACCAGCCCCAACCGATCATCACTCAACCTCCGTCTCCAAACAAGCCACCAAAAAAGAGATGAACGTTTACCTGAAAACCTACATAAGCCCAAACTAATTTCGATCTTTCTGTGTTTAAAGCACTACTTCCCTGGACGCCAAAAACATTCGCGCGCGCGCGCCTCGCTCGTGCGGCTGGCTCACCCGCTTGGTAACTCCAGCTTGAAAAGGACCCCACGAGATGCGGCCAGATCCCGAGGTCCAGGAGTTTGACGAACAGCTGGCAACACAGTGAACCGCTGTCTCCTCCTAGAACGTACAAAAGCTTCGCTGGGCATCGCGTTTGCACCGCCTGTAATCCCAGCTTATTCTGGAAAGCGCTGAGGCAGAGGATCATTTTGAACCCAGCGGAAGTAGAGGCTGCAGTGAGCCGACCGATCGCAACCACTGCACTCCAGCTGGGTGGCAGGAGTGAGATTCATCTCAAAAAAAAAAAGAAAAGAAACACGACACAACAAGCTGAAGTTATCGGGGGGGAGATGACGTTACTGAAATAAGCTCCAAACGAACTAAATCTTGACTTTTGTCGTTTATCAGCCATCAATTCTGGCCACTTACAAAAAAAATTTGGAAGCCACACACTGCAAGCTGCCATGTGTTTAAATGTGCTGCTGGACTGCTATGGCTACTAAGCACAGACGCAGCCCCAGCTGGCACCAAAGTGGCCACTTGGAGAGCTGAGAAATGAATAAAGTGGCTACGCTCTCCACAGGAGGCTGTAAGGTCCAAACACAACTGATCAGTAAAAAGGTCACTCCTCCTCCAAACTCCTTCCCTGACCACGGAACCAAAAACCTGCATCTTTCATTCAAGTTTCACTTGCGCCACCACATCCAGCTAATTTTTATATTTTCAGTAGAGACAGGGTTTCACCATATCGGTAGGAGCAGAAGGACGAGGGAGAGGAGGGGGAGGAGGAGGATGAGGGAGAGGAGGAGGACGAGGGGAAGGAGGGAGAGGAAGAGGAGGAGGAGGACCGAGGGAGAAGAGGACACAGGCGAGGAGGCGGAGAAGGGCGGAGGAGAAAGGACGAGGCCAGGAGCGGGGAGAGGGAGGAGGCGGAGGAGGCGGGCACGGACGGGCGAGGAGGCGGCGAGACGCAGGG